GTGAAGGCAGGAACCAAGGCCTTTCGATGTGACAATGCTCCCTAGAGTCTAGTCCAGTGTCTGACTTGGCCTTAAGGAGCTCCCCATCCAGATGAGATGAAACACAGAAATGGAGCTGATGGAGAAACTGCAGGATCAATGCATCACGTTCCCAGCTAGGTTGCCCGAGTCTCCTTTCTCCCAGCAAAGGGAACACAGGGAAGGCCAAGCCTCACCACACACACACTTGGTTACCCTGCAGAGAGGTTGGCCTGCAGCAGGCCAGTGCCCCCCAGAACACCACTGTGATGGCCTATGTGGAAAACACAGAATATGAAATCGGGGGACAATGGTTTAGAATACATTATAATGCATTTACCATTTGAACTTACATTTTCTCATTTGTGATAGTAGCAATTCAGTTACATTCACTCTGAACATTTTTTTTAGAATTCAGGGAAATAATAAAGGTAAACAAAAACATTGCAAGAGGTAAAAAACTATAGAAATGTTGGTTATTTTTACTGCTTTTTATTAGTATTCACCACAATTTTATAACCTGTAGAAGTATTCAAAATAATATTTATTCTTTTCAAGGCAGACTGAAGGAAAAAAAAAACAAATCAAAATAAAAGAATGAAATAAGCCATTGGCAATAAATTTCAGGGGACAGGATAATTAAAATTTTCTTTTGGACACATGGTTATTTATGAGGGGAAAAATGTTAATTGAAGTTTTTTTTTTTAGTTACTTTTATGAAAGTACTAATCTATATAGGCACAATAACAAAATCATAAAGAAAATTGCATAATTTTAATAAGGTTTTGTATGTAAGTAGTCATTCAGATTTACTTTCTTTTACACAGTAACCTTTCTTTGCTATACAAGCACATGGGGCACCTAATACCACATAGTTTCATTACTAGCAATGCCACCGGGTAAGATTCAATAATAGTATACATTCAGAAAGTGTCATATCGCTTCTCCCTTCCTGGAGAATAGAGAAACAAACTCTCAAGGTATATGATATAGGCTGGAGCCTGGCCAAAGTGTTGCTATGACTTTTTAGTGAATCTAGATCTTTATTCGCAGTGTCTAGCAATAGCACAATCTCTTTCTGTGGCACTGGAGACAACTTGTATATCTCTAGTACTTACGCTCCCGAAAGATGGCACTGAGCACAGCCCTTGGGAGTCTTGCACAGCAGTAAGTGGAAAGGAAGGGATGGGGATCAGAGAAAACTTTAAAATTGACTTTTATCTGCTTAAACTCAAAAGGAATGATATGATGCTGCTTGCAGACATCTCTCTGTGGCACAGTTCCAAGGAAATAAGTTCTACACTGAGCCTTATTGTTAGTATGTCTGTATTAAATGAAGTCCTTGCAATGTATTTCACACCAAATTGAACTTTTAAAAAATCTTTTTTGTCAGTATTAGTGCTTCATAAGAGTACAGTCAATTTAAATGTGGCTGTTCTAAGATGGAATCATTTTGGGAAAGAGGTGACTTAGTATCCTCCCTGCTTATTTTCTCTCAAAGCTGTCTAGAGGTTGTTTTTGTGTTTTTGTTTGTTTTTGTTTTTTAATGTGGAGTAAGATGCATTTATAAAATAACTTCTCCAGGCCCTGGCCAGGTGTCTCTGTTAGTTGGAGCATTGTCCTGTGCACCAAAAGGTTTACAGATTTGATCCCAGATCAGGGCACATATCTAGGTTGTAGGTTCGATCCTCTGTGAAGGTGCTAATGGGAGGCAACTGGTCAATGTTTCTCTCTCACAATGATGTTTCTCTCTCACTCTCTCTCTGTCCCCTTCATTTCCCTGTAAAATCAATAACAAAAAAAATATCCTCAGATGAGGATAAATAAAGAAATAAAGAACTCCCTTCTTCATCCTATTGATAGACTTTCAGCTACCCCATGTACTATTGTCCTCTATTTATCTTTTTCCTTCTTTTGTGAAATTTCACAGCCAGCCTCTCTCTTCTTTCTCGCCCTATCCCTGATGTTCACCTATCATGACCGAGAGTTTATTTACTCTTGATCAGGCACAAGCCTAACAGTTAGGAGATAATCTTGAACAAAGCATGTGTGTGTATATAACCCCACCTTGGTAAATTTGAAAAGACACCTTGATGGAAATGGCAGCCAAGCTAAGCCCCAAAGAATAAATAGAAATTAACCAGGTGGACATGTGGACAGGAACGCTGCAGCATATGCAGACCCTGAGGCTGAAGGAACAGGGTGCAGCTGGGAAACTACTGGTAATTTTGCACAGTTTAAGCATGGAGGTAAAAGATGGAGAAACATTATAAGTGAACCGGAGAAATAGACTCATGAAGAGCTCTAGGCTCAGAGAAAGGAACACGGCTTTTGGAAGTTGGAGAGAAACCATTTAAGGATTTTAGTCTGGGGAGTAACATATTCCAATTAATACCCTATGAGATGCCTCTGGCAAGAGTTAGAAGATGGTTTGACAGGCTAACTTTAGAGAAAAATAAAGGACATTGATTTTTTATTTTGTGGTGTTATTGTTAAATCCATTTTGGTGTGATGTTGCACTCTTTAAAAACTGAAACTTAACTCACTTAAATATTGCACAATGATATACATATGTGTGTGTGTGTGTGCGCGCGCGCATGTGTGTACAAACTCTGCTAAATGATAGATCTATTCAAAATTGGCTGAGTACAAAGTCACAGCAAACAAAATCTTCTGATAGTGTGTAATTGCTCTATTTCTGATTTGTGTGATTTGAGACAATAGGCTGACAACTCTTTTCACTGCATGTGGGATTATGCAGTTTTAATCTAGTTCAGAAACTTTCTAAATTTTGAGCGTGAGATTATTTAACTAAATAGCTAACTGCTATAAATCTCTATTTTTACATGATCAAACAGAATAAGACAAAGAAAAGCTAGAAATGCTTTGCTTCAAACAAAAACCATATAGCTCATTATTAATGAAAAGTTCAGTGTCTCTGTCAAAAATTAAGTTATTTAAAATGGTCCCTTTAACATACAAATGGGATCTGGCATTATTTAAATTAAAGGAGACAGAAAAAGTACTTGGAGTTAACTTTTAATTGTTGCCTAACTACTTCATCTAGTGGTATGAAATCAAAAAGAATTTTTCCATTAGCTGGAAAACTTGCCCAGGACATGTGCTTACATCCTAGCAACAACACCACTGACACATGTTTTTTAAGGATATCAATGAAAATAATATTTAATTTAATATTATTTTTTATTAATTAATTTTGATATTAATACATTTCCCATTGTCATTAAATTTTCTTAATTGTATGTTTTTCTTTTTTGGAACATTTAATAATTTTTGAAGCATATAATATTTTATGTGCATATTGTCACTATATAATTTTAAAAATTCAATTACACTTATTTCAAAATATGTTATACTAAATTTTATATTTGAATTGTGTTAAATGCTTAGCATCAGTAATTTTATTTTATGAATTCTGAATTTTTATTTTCCAAATATAGATATTGAAATACCAGCACTGGCATTTTACTCTGGTTTTCATTAGCAAAAACGGTTAAGTTCTCCTTTCACCCATTGATGATGGGGAGCTGAGCAGACTGTGGTGACTGGGGAGAAACAAAAATAAAAAAGTGAGGCAGAATTAACAACACTGGGCAATTTGGGGAATGTGGACACTGGAAGGAGAAGAGGAAAAGGAGATACCCTGCTTTCTTATATGCACTTTGAATAAATGTGTTTATGAATATTATCATTCACATAAAGAGGGAACACAAGCCAGAGAGGAGAAAAGGTGAAAAAAAAGGGGAAGGAAACAAAGAACAAGCAAGGAGACAAGTAACAAATGGCATCATTTAGAAAATGCTGCAATTTCAATGAATCACTGTTCAGGAAATCCACGCCCACTTCCCCCTGCCATCTCTATACTGTTTTTGGAATCTTTATATACATCAAATACACTGTGAAGGATTTGGCACCTCTCCTGGGAGAACCGAGTCAAGCTGAGGACATGTTAAAGAAAGCAGACAATGAATAACAAACATGAGGAAGCTCACTACAAGATTCCTTTCAGTTCCTTAAACCTGAGCTACTTTGAATCTGGCTGGAGTCAAATCCGCTAAGACTCCTGCCAGTCAGTGAGGTTAGGAGTACTGTAGTAGTTTCTCATCTTACAGTTAGGGATGCAGTGTATGCATGTGTATACTCTTGCATTCCTACAATGAGAGTATGAATATGTTTTTCCAGAAAGATGATTCTCTACAGTGATTACTTAGTATGGGTAGGGCACTCCTTTGAATACAATATTGATTTAATAACCTATATTATCTCATCAAGGCACATAACTATTTTTATGCAGAATCCGAAATACATGTACCCATTTTTAAAATAATCTTAGGAAATAATTAAAGGACATAACTAATTGGAAACTACTTACACTTTACATTAGTAAATATCAAGTTTGAAAGTTTTGATAACATGGTTGAGTTCTAAGAGCATTAGGGTAGATCATCAAGCTACTCTAATTCATGTTAAGGAGACTATAATTTCATTTTACTTATCAGCTCATGAGCACTTTAATTTCTGACATTTTTTCCTCTCCTCTATTTGCTGCACCTTTAGATACACATGTTATACTTCATGTGAAAAGAATAGCGTGTATGTTTTCTACCTTTGTATACCAAGTATGAAAACTCTCAGGAGAGCGCATTAAATTTTAATCCTGTAATTGTATAAAAGGCAGGAAGCACTGAGAAGCTTACTGCAGAGTTAAATGATGCTGTAGTTTGTTTTCTGTGATTTGGGAAGAACCATAAACAAACCTATGGTAAGTATTGGTAAAATGGCTGTCCTGGCACTTAAGCAGCACTCTGATACCTTGGAATTGGCTTATTTTTCCTATGTTTAAGAAGCTGACCTGTCAAATAAAAATGGTGTCTAAACTGTTAGGACGTTTTGAGGTCCTACTATGAACAGGCAATGTAGGAATTTTCTTTTGAATTTTATTCCAGAAATTTCTACCACAGGACCGCTTGGCATGGGGAGCACCACCACCAGTACCACCCTTCGGACCACAGCTTGGAGCTCAGGCAGGAGTACCACCCCATCGGTGTCAGGAAGAAGAAACCGGAGCACCAGCACCCCATCTCCAGCTGTTGAAGTGCTTGATGACATTACCACACACCTTCCCTCAGCATCATCCCAAATCCCAGCTCAGGAAGAGAGCTGTGAGGCCGTGGAAGCCCGAGAAATCATGTGGTTTAAGACCCGCCAAGGACAGATGGCAAAGCAGCCGTGCCCCACTGGAACTATAGGTACGTCTGTCCTACAGAGCTAAGCTAAAGGTGTGCCATTACTTTGGCTTGCTTTTTAAACATTTTTTTTCTTTTCTTCTCTTTCTTTTTCTTTCTTTCTTTCTTTCTTTCTTTCTTTCTTTCTTTCTTTCTTTCTTGGTTACTTCACATTTACTTAAATTCTGGATTCAGCTAAATGCCAATTTAAAATAATGTATTTTCAGAACTTGAAAATGCATTCTATAGAGGCAACAGGTGAGAATTTGATGGGAACACGTTGAAATCAGCACTTCTCACCCATGGTGTGCACTCTCTGGGTGGAGTCACACTTAGGTTGTAATGTCCAGGCTGTTCCAGAGAGGTAGCTCTTTGTGCAGCAGCCAGATTGAAAGCCCTGGAAATGCCAGAGGCTGGTGCTCATGTCTGTCACCAGCCTCAAATATCTATTGCAGAAAGTGAGGCTGAGTGCCTCTCTTTTAGAAGGCAATCATTGAAACTACCTAAATTTTAACAGAAATAGAAGTTTGACTATTCTTTTTTACCAGTCATTGTAACTGTCCTGGAATAGCCGAAGACTCTTAACATTGTCGGATTTCATGCAGGCAGAAACCAAAGCCCCACTTACTCAACATTTACTACAGAGAGAGCCATCCTGCATTTTGTCCAAGGGAGACTTAAGAACTAACTAGCTCTTCATGCCTTTTTTTACTGATATGATTCATAATATCCTCAAATGGTAACCATATTTTTATGTATGATTTTAAAACCAGAAATAGCCTGATTTTCTTATTGTTACACTGTTCCTCAAGGAACTTTGTTTAATACAATGACGATAATTTGCATTATTCCATGAAATATGTAAATAAAACAAACACATGATAGATGTCACGAGAGCAGCATTCGTAGAGACTGTATCTTTGAGTGTTATTGATTTGGTTGCTTTGAGGAAGCTGGTTTCTCTTAGAAAAGTTCCAAAGTGGAGATGTCATTCTGAATCCCGTGGTATATGAACTGATGTGAAGGCCAGAGGTATGTTGACTTTTACAAAAGCGCATGGTTTATTTTTTTTCCAGCAAAATGTTTAAAACTATTCAGAAATCTACCTTTCCGTTATGAAAGGAGGTCATGTTTAGTTGTAAAGTTTTCTGTGGTAATGGAATCAGAAAACAGTTAGAAGCCTTCCTTCTTAGCCCTGCCCCCTTAGTTCTGTTTTCTTAGTTCTTAGTTTCTCGTTGGTGTTCCTACAACCCCCTACTTCTGATGTTTGTTGTGAAAGTTAGTGAAAATACTTTATTTGATAGCACTTTGCACTCAGAAATAAATCATCACTGTTCTGTGAAAACTGAGGAAGAGATTTAAAGGAAGCCTTCTGAAGCTCCCCACCCCGACGTGACTGTTCATAAACTGGGTCTTATTTTTACCTTTCTCTGTTTCTTCGGTTGTCCTGTTGTTCAGGCCCACACAGCCTCTGACTGGAATCACTGCAACTGCTTCCTCACAGCCTCCACATCGCTCCCTCCAGTCATCCTCCATGAGGCCACCCCAGTTATATTTCTAAAACCTTAATCAGTTCATTTCTCTCATCCGCTTCATGATCTTTGTTGATTTTCCAGCACACACACAAGACAGACAAGGGAGTTTATGATCTGGCTTCGTCTGCCTTTCCAACTCCATTAAGCACCCACCCTGTCCAGTAGACCTCAGTTCAAAATACTTGAAGTTGCCCAAGCACAACATGTTTTTCCTCCACTGCAAATGCCCTTTCCCACATTATTTTCCTGAAAAACCTGAAAACTGCTGTAAGACTCACTTGCTATCTTGCCTCTGAAAACTCAAGCAATAAGCCCATAAAGACAGATACCACAGCCACCTAATTCATTAAGTTATTCCCCATACCCAGCACAGTTGCCAACGAGTGCTTTAAAAATATTGAATGTTTTCGTTTGTTGTATTACATTTCTCCACAGCCAGTTGCTGTACATTGGGTTAAAATAGACATTATCTCAGTTTAATGATCTCATTTTTACCTTTGCTCATATTAAAGCATAGCATGGGTATAAAGTCCTTGTAAGAAAAATGGTTTGAATACCTAAGACCTATTTCTCTCATTATTTTAGGAGTATCAACTTATTTGTGTCTGGCTCCTGATGGAATCTGGGATCCCCAAGGACCAGATCTGAGCAACTGTTCTTCTCCTTGGGTCAACCATATAACACAGAAGGTAAATCATGTGACTGACAAAAAGGTTTGCAGAATCTTGGTCCTGTGTTGTTGGTTATCGTTGCTGCAAACAAAATAATCAAGATTTTTTTTTTTAATGTGTAAAAATTCTCTCATTTTAATTTAATTTAATTTAATATTTAATGACAACCTCTGACATTCTATTAGCTAATTCTGGAATTTTGTTGTTCTTAGAGGGCAAATTTGTGGACTTCATCGAAGCCAGGCGGTATCACCTATAATAACTTTGTTATTAATAAAATGTCTGTGGTATTGTGCACTACAGATATTAAAAAGTCCAAGAGATATTATAAATCAAGCAAGCAAAAGCTTCTAGCATACAAATATATAGGTTTCCCTGTGGAAATAATAATTACAATAAAAATGTCTACCTTTGGAATCTTAAGCCATTTGATAAATGTCCTGTAACCTAATCATTTATCAGTGTTAAAAGTACACACATGTGTGACAGAATTTTGCAGACTCAAATTTGCAGGGCTTATTTGGTTGCAATATGTTGAACATTTTTATTATTAATGCACTGTGGGGCTTTGAATTGATTTCATTACAAACAGAGACCAGATGTGCATTTATGCCAAAAGGGCTACGGGATGAATCTTTATTATAGCAATTTGTGTGGATTTATTCACTCCAAAATGGAGAGTCCTTCTATGGCACATTAGCTATGCTACGGAATTTCTGAAAGAGACTTTTCCTTAGAAATATTACAAATGATGGCCTTACTAAAAGCCTGTCTGTGCCATTTGCTCTTTCCTCTATTTGTTTTTAACTAGGCTGATCCTCAATAATATACTGTATAATAATCCATAAATATCTACTCAGTAGATCATTTAGCAGATGAGCCGTAACTATCTATTTACCCTAAATCATGGAAGAACAGTGGTTATATTAACTCTAGTTACCCTCTTACATATGCATCTCCATACTTGTTGCTATTCATAATGATCTTCTCCAATTTCAGCACTGTTCCTGCCACAGTTTTTATGTCCTTTGATTTTTATTACAATGTAGCTCAGACCCCAGGGCAAATAACTCTTGCTAGATGTGATCAGATTAAGAGATCAGTAGCCTATCTCCTTACATTACTGTCTTTTAAAAAATACTCCTACATACTTAGCCCAGGGGTTAATATTAATTCAGTAATAATTCACCTAGAACACTGAGTGGTTTTCATGACAATTCCTGAATATGGTTGCACTATTTTATTGCAGAAATTACTGGGCGACTTTAATGACGCTTAATTCTTTTCTTTTCTCTGCAGACCTGCTAATCTTATGACAAAAGAGATAATTCCTTGCAAAGACCAGACAGCTGTTGTTGCCCATTTGATTTATGGATGGGGTGCTTTTGTTTTGTAACAAATACATTCTACTCTTCCAGAGCATTTCTGTTGGACCCTGTAGAACTACAAAATTATGCTACATTATAATTTTATTAAGATTATAGAATTTAGCCAATTGGAATTTATCATAATACCTTAGCTTGATTACTGAAATTTATAAAATCTTCAAAGGTGTAACAGTTAACAGATTGACTTAGGTAACTAACCCAGGGTCGGTGTTACAGTTGGTGTTCTACTTGGGTCCGCCTTTATCAAGGCATTATGCATAGCCAACCACTCTGGCTAATTGTGATTATGATTGCCTCGCTATCACATCCTCACTGACCTAGTCTCTTTAACTTCTTTCCACCCTTTTACCTGGCATGCCCCTCATAACCACTATATACTTATGCTACTCATTGAATATAAATGGCATTTGCACAGGTTTCTTTCCAAAAGTGGATTAGTATGCAGTGTTCACAAAGTTATTTTTCTGCATTCTCTCTCCCCCATCCCCAAAGCATCCTCCTCCAAATTCACACTTTTGCCTACTTCCTCCCTTGGTGCCAGAGCCCCAACAACAAACAGATGGAACATTGAAGAGGGTCGTTTACAGCGGAAGTGGGGGAGCGAAGGTGAACTACAAGAGACAGATCGGGAACCGAGAGCTAGTAACAGGAGTAGCACTGTTCCCAATCCCAGGCCTGTGGTTGCTGGATCCAAGGAATGACTAAAAATTGGAAGCAGGGTATCCTTGAGAGGAAAGATGGCATGTATACAAAAGATAGAACATAGCCTCAGGAAACATTTCAGAAACAGATCTAGGGGAATAAACCCCAGACCTTACCTTCTGCCTTGCTCATTCACCTTCCTAGCCTCCCCTTGGGCCCAGCCCAAAGGGAAGCCAGAGAAGAGGGCCACTCTTAATAAAGTACAGGCAAGTCCACCTGCTAAGGCAGAGAGCCTGATGGAGGAGGGTGGAAAGTGGCTCTGAACTAGCAAAGGGAAAATAGCCAGCATGTCTCAGCTTTTAGCTCCTGTTCTCATACCCTGCCTCTATTTCCCATCCCCAATTCTTCCCTATCTCCTTTCACTCCCGTACCCTCCCTTCTTCCTTTCCCTTGTCCCATCCCTTGTCCTCTGCTCTGGGCTCCCCCTTGTCTCTAATGGATTTTTAGTGCCATGCTGGAAAATTAAAGTGAAATAGGGATCTTCAGTGATTCACTCCTCCTGGCCTTCCCCCACTGTAGTTCTGTGAACTTCAAACTTTTACAGCGAAGGAAGGCTTTTTAACCCCCATGAAAGCATAGACAAAAAAAGAAAGGAGAGGGGTCATTCTCTTCTTGAAACAGTGTATTCAGTTTCCAGCCTGCATCGTGGGTGAATGTGCTCTGGAATGTGAGGCACCTCCTCTCTGGCTTCATAGTACTTCTGAGGACTTTAAATGAAGGAACAGTTCTAGGTCACAGTCTGCATCTATACCATGGGAAGGATTGTTCGTTTCATTATTGATAATGTTTACTCACATATATAGACAGGAAGTATACACAAATAAATGGATGAGATTGCTTACTTTACTTGGGAAGAGCAAACTTTGTATTTTCATTTTTGCTAAGAAATAAGTTATGCTCTTTCCCCTGTAGTCAGGCCGGGAGGGAGAAAACATGCAAAGAATGTTGATGGGTTCTGACTCACAAATGAATTCAGGCCACTTTTATACTGGTGATATTATAAATTAAATTTTGTGTGGTAATAGAGAGCAGATTACATTTCACTAGAGTAAAATGTAAGCCTTTAAAATCAGAATATCGTGAAGATATTTATTATAAACAAACTAACCAGAATACTTTCAGAATGATGAAATTAAACAAAAAATGTAATTTATACAGAAAAGGAAAGGCAAAAATTGTACACAAAGGGACTTTTACCTCAGCAACGATAGAGGGAAAGTGGGGAGGCAGGGAGAGGTAGAAAGACTAATGGGGATAGAGAGACAGGTGGCAGGATAGATAGCAAGAAAAGTAGGTAAAAATAAATGGATGGATAGAAAGATAGACATTCCCTTCATGTTACTGTTTTTCAAATACTTTTGAGGTTTTATTGAAAGCCAGCAAAGTAATTCATAGCTCTGTCTTCTCAAACATATGTGGCAAAACATCCTATTTTCTCACCTTTCTTAATAACTGCTTGCCAAAATTACGGTCTCTGGCTTGATCTCTTGCTTAGAGTCAAATTTTTTAAAAACGGTTTATATTTTCTAGTTTGGATACCTTTAAAGAGTTTATTGCATTTCACAATCTCTCCACTCTTTTTCAATTTAAAATTCTGTGAGATTACAGTTTTGAATAGCTTCCATATTTATTTGCATGTAAAGTGAAGTGTGCTTCCTTCTTCATTACCTGGCCCAACTACTATATGGAAAGGAAATGCCTGAATTGTCACTAGGAAATAATCTTTCTATGTTTGGCAAACTGAAGTGTCTCTTGTGTTTGTACACAAGACACTGACAAATTCTGAGGTAAGTAGGGTTCTTCCTGCAGTTTTAAAAGAAGGATGTGTAGATCAAGGCAATATTATTGCTATTTTTCAATATAAAGTAAGTCAGTTGTTTGCCCTGGAAGACTAGGTTCAATCCTGTTACCTAGATTTTAATTCTCTCATTCTTTTAATCTCATAGATCTAATATGAAATTATAGTAAATTGCTTCTTAGTTTTATCAGAGCTTGGTGGGATTTTCAAGACTTTAGACTTATTTTAACCTTTTTTCAGATGTAAGAAAGAAGTCTTGAATTGTTTATGTTATCTATTTCACTCAGATTTATAGCAAAATATGTAGATCTTTCAGTGAAATCGTAGCCAGATACTTAAACACTAGGAGTAAATCCTTTACAAATTGTTTTGAAACCAAATCAATGTTGGACGTAATAAATCTCATCAAGGACCGGGCTTATTTAAAAAAAAAAATCCCTTTGACTTTTGTCTAAAGTTGAAATGTAAATAATATCCATCTCGTTCATAATTATTATCCTTAAGTAAAGATGCAGGGTTTCCCCCCACCTATTTAAGTCCCAGCTCTCGCCCCACCACTTCAATATAAGAATTAATTTACTGACCCTCAGCAAATTCATACAATGTCTCAGTGTACATGTGCTTTTTTCTCAGAAAGAATTTTAGTAGAATTGAGTAGAAGAAATATTAGAGTTAGACATTTTAATGAGGCCTGTTAGCTAGGATATGCAGGATAACTTTATTTCAATCTTGCCTCTGCATAGAAGACTTGAGACAGATTAAAGGTATGTGTATTTTTTTTACATGGAAATAAGATCATTGTCATCCCTGACAACAATGGTGATAAATACAAGTATTGGAAAGAGAGCCGAGTAGCTTCAGGAAGCCAGTGGGAAGAGTGTAGTCAGTGAAGGCCTGGTCTGGCAAGCCCACCTTTAACTGAGCCATCAATGTCAAGGTCTCAGTGGCTACGGGAGAATCCAGTTAAGGGGACACCATCGACTCGTGGAAACAAGAAGCCTGGGCATGGCTCTTGGTGCCTCCCTTCCCTCCTCATTCCATATCCAGTCAGACAGGAGGCCTGTTCATGAACGCGTGAGTCTCTCCTGGTCAGGCCCCTTTCACCGCGGCTGCGCTAACCCTCAGAGGCTCCCGTTCCTGTGGCCCCCCGCAGGCCTCTCCTTCACTCCCCGAACCCCCTGCCTCAGGAGTTTCAGCCTTTTTTCTCCTCACGGCACACATAAACTAATTACTAAAATTCTGCAACATACCAAAAAATGTACTATATTTTTCGCCAATCTTACAAAAAAAAAAATAGGTATAAATTTGATTCATTCATACCAGACAGCTATTGTTGTGTTGGCTGTTGTCATTTTTTATTTTCATTTTTTTATTTGACTATCTAAGGGGAAAGAGGTCAGTGCCCCTAACTATATAGTCAAGGATTGCATGTTTTTTAAATCCTTGCAGCACACCAGTGTGCAGAAAGAAGCAAGCTGGTTGAAAATCGCTGCTCTAGCTCATTCTCCTGAGTTTTTATTTCCAACGCCAATAGGATTAGGCCACTCCTAGTCATGTATTTTATGCCTTACCTTTCTCTTCGGACATTTCTCAAAATCTTCATAATGACTTCCAAAGGGGGCTGTTTAATCCTCTCCTTGCTCAGCTCCCCAGCCGGTTACACCTCAGTTACAGGGACCCCCAAAAGCTGTTCTCTCTACCTAGAGACCCCCACCCTCATCCCAACCCAATTTTTTCTTTCCTTAGAGAAGCATTTCCTAAATTATTCCCTAACTTCATACACCAGATTAAAATGCCCTTAAACTGGGATTCTGTACTGCACTACAAAAATTAAAAGTAAATACTTCTGCCGTTAATTTATTAACAGCACTCCCTCACTGGTTTGTAAGCTCCTTATTGGGAACCATTTTGTATCGTATTAGAAATTATGGATAGCGCAATTCTGTTAGAAATTCAAATTTCACTAAAGAACAAATGAAAATATAGACAGGATAAATAATGGTTGAAATTAAAGATAAAAACAGACATGTTCATCCTATTTTAAAAAAACTGGATATAATATATATTTATTACATACATATACAACTTATATTGGTATCAATACGGAATTCTGAAGGTAAGAAAAATGTATTTTTCTTTCTGTTATACCTACAGTAGCCTGTCTTCCCAAACCATGGTTATTCTAGACTTTACTTTTTATATAGCTTCTTCTTGGCTTCCTCAACATAAAAGTATTCCACAGCAGTATTCCATCTTACTTGACCACCTACACCTTCCTCTAAGGCTGGTTGTTTCACTGGTTATGTCCTTCTGTTGCCTTCCCGCCCCATATCCAGGTGTTTGTTACCCCTGTGCTGTATTTCCATAATACCTCGTATACATTCCTGCTATTAAAAATTGCATTATTGAATTAATATCATGTCTTTACCTCCTTCCTGGTCTACCCCAACCCCAAGTGGTAAAGTGTGAGCTTCCTGAGTGCAAAAGCTATATAACATTTGTTTTTATTTACTCAAGGAACAACAAGTGTCCAAATGATTATTGAGCGAATGAAAGATTTTTACTACGGTTTCTCTTTTAAGAGAAAAAGGGGATCAGAATGAATAGTTACATCATTTTTGTTTTACTTTAAAAATATGCTTCTCATATTTTTTATTATAAACACTTTTATAACTTGTTTGTACTTTAGGGATTTTTTTACAGCTTTCTTGTTGGTGCATATTGAGTTTCAGAGTTCTTTTGCAAAGTTAATTAGATTTATCCTTTGTAAATAAATACTTCTTGAATGCTAACATGTAGCTATGATTTTTAAGGTAATGAACTAGTAATTTTCATATTTGACTCACTGTTTTTATCTGCCGTTGATACATGTATAGTCAATGGCATCATTTTTTATGTTGAGAAGAATTATAGTTTATCTTATTAGTCATCTACATTTTTAACTTTTTCCTTACTGTATATGAAGAAAAAGTTTAGAGTTTTACATAGAAAAATTACATAGGCCTTAGATATTGTAATAAATAATGATAAAAACTATGTACTTCTACACAGTAATAAAATGGAAGTAGATTATGAAAATACCATTGCTATTACTTACGTTTTTCTCTGTTTGATAAATAATTTGCTTTTCATAATGTTCCCTGATAAAGGTAATGAAAGTCAGTGCAGTATTAAGTGGTAACAAGCAGAAGAAAGCAATGTCATAATAACAATAGCAACAACATAAATGATAATAAAACTAGAAAACAATGATTAACAAAGTAAAGCAATAGTAATTCTACAAAAACATTAAACTATTATTTTATATGTGTTACATAAAATATAATAAATACATGAAGCTGATGATTTGTTCTACATGGGCTGTGCAAATATTCAGTAGTGGTTTACAAGGGAGATACGCATTTCCACAAATTCTTGCCAACACTTTGTGTTACTAAATGTTTTACTGTTTTGAATAAAATTTGTCTATGTACTTGAGGATATGATTACTAATAATATAGATGTTCAAATCACTCTAATTTATTCATTTGTTTCCTTAATATTCAATCCCGCTACAAACATTTGTTGAACATCCCTGAGTGGATAGTGGTAACCTACTTGGCTAAGAGTTTTAGTTATGGTCGTTATAGCTTTCTGTAAGCTATAGGGAGACTGCATTGAAAAGCGGACTTTCCTGTTTGTGATACTAAGTTCTACATTGGACTGTACTTACAAAAAGAAAAAAAAATGCTGAATACTAACAATTATATGTTTAAATTATAATAGGGCAAAATATTTCTACCTTCATTTTACCCAGAGCCGTTAGATTTGTTCATATGATTATGGGATTAACCTTTATCTCTTTGAACATCTTTGGAATTTTGCCAATTTGATATATTCTTATAGAATGTACTTGAAAAATCAGCATAGAGTTTCAGAAAAGGAAAATGCTAGAAACAGCAATAGTTTGCTACCTACTGCATTGGGAGCAAAATATCCATTTAGTAAGTAAGAGGACGAAGATCACTTTGAAAAGCAGAGATTTTATTTAGGAGAAAATTCTCACAGAGCTTAGCAGTCTGTGTGTATTCATTGTATACTAAGTGCTAAATTAGGCACAATGGAAAATTTGTACTTGCCTCTGAGAACTAAGAATACGGCTGGGGATTCATAATGCAACCTCATCAACATCCAATTTAGAAACTCAGAAAAATCATAGGGCAAATAGACTTAGCCACCCAAATGGATAATTAAGGTATGAACAAGTTTTTGAAGTAAGATTCCTCAGGAGGAGCTTCATAAAGACATGAATTTCAAGTCAGGTACTGGAGAGAAAAATGGATTAACGGAAAAACTCAGGGAATGTATTCCAGATGAAGATGGAGTTTCATAACTATTTCTTGGCTCAATGATTATAACTTTTATGCAAAGCAATTATCCACAGAGACCAATAAAATTGCTTAAGATGGTTTTCCTTCTTATTCTGCTTTCAAAATTGCAGTTGAAATCTGGAGAGACAGCTGCCAACATTGCTAGAGAGCTGGCTGAACAAACAAGGAATCATTTGAATGCCGGAGACATCACCTACTCTGTCCGTGCCATGGATCAGCTGGTAGGCCTCCTGGATGTACAGCTCCGGAACTTGACTCCAGGTGGAAAAGACAGCGCTGCGCGCAGCTTGAACAAGGTAAATACGTTAGTGATATATAACTGCAAAGTTCTAGTAAAGTCAGTGAGACTTGCTTGGTTAATTTCTTTTTCAAATAAAATCAGATCTTTCTAAAGAGCATTGCTAGTTAGCTAGTCAATTCACTTCACTATTTCATTGTAATTATGACTATGTTTCGCTTTTAATCCAAAAAAAGTTATAATCTCTCCATATATGTTTTGAATTTACACTTCTATTTTTTATACTATTTATTCTGTTCTGTGTACTAAATTCTGGCAGGATCAATAAATATAATTCATTTAGTTTCTATTTTTTCCTTTCAAACTTTATATTACAATAATTAACAATAATATAAATTTCTAATCAATAAGGAGAAATTTAAAAAACAGGAACAATGAGAAAGGATATTAGCAATTCCTTATAGATATTTTTAAAATAAAATAGTTTGATCTAATTAATATTATATTTAAAAACTCCTGGGACAGGTAACTAGGTTTTAATTTTTATTTCCTTTTGATACTTAAATTGTTAACATTTTATATCACTACAATAAAACTTAAGAGATTTAATTTCAGCAAATTTGATAGTAAATAATTCAATTTTTAAATTTCAGAAAGCATATATTTTATTTATATTTATAAATATAAATGTATAAATTATACACACATATAAGCATTTTATATCTATGTGTATACTTTATATAACCTATATACTATATAAGCACCTTATTTACAGAAATATATAAAATGTACTTTATATTTTATAAGGTATATAATACATGTAACAAAATATCACATGGTGAATCAATTTCATGGTAAAAAGATATTAGAATTACTACCATGAAATGACTTGTGTTCTTTGGAAAGTATTTGTGTAATAGAGATGATAAGTTATTGAAACTGGATTTTAAAGTCTTGAATATTATGCTAAGCTTACTACCTAAAAAGTAAGAATTTGTCACTGACTATGTCCTTCATGGAATTCACTAAATGAACATTCCCCTTTAGAATGAAAAGTGACTTTGTAGCATGGTATGTGTGTGTGTATATATATGTATATTTCTTTTGTACATTATTAAACTGAGGGTTTTACTCATTTAGATGGAAGAAATTTTTTAAATAGTGATGGTATGACATAAGAAAGCCTGATTTGTATCTGGCAAATAAATTTTTGTTTTGCTGCAATTTCATCCTCAGAAAACATATTCAGTTTTATCATATATATATATATATGTATATATATATAATTTTTTTTTTTACTGCAGAGCATAAAGAAGTTATTTTTGTCTGTTAAATCCATGATAAAAATCAGCTGAGCCCCTGGTAGAATATAATCTACAGTTGCCTAAGTAATCTGGGCATGCTGAGATTTTAATGTGTTATTATGCAGGCTGACTGGATGCTATTAATGAATATTGCTGCCAGCTATTGTTATCATAATGTACTGCAAGTAGTAATTTCTATTAATGTTACATATCCATAACATTACTTATAGCAATACTTTTTATCTTTATTTAAAAGTAGTGTTGATGTCTGACAGTATCAGGTAAAGCTGGCAATTAATGTCACATTCTAACTGGCTACAGCTAATCAGCTTGCCTATTCCGAATATCAAATAACTACATAATGGGCAAATTTCCATTTGTAAAGCTTTTTAATGCTCTCTTTTTCCCCCCCATTTGGCTCTTTTCAATTGTTTATATAATGTGGTTTGTCATATGTTAATTTGCATGGGGGATAAGGAGATGGGAGGGCAAAGGTTATTCACCTGCTTGCTGGCTTACTCTCATTCCCTGCGGTTCCCACTGTTCCCTGAAACAGTTATAACCCATCACATCTGCAAAGTCAACTCCTTACAAATCAATTGTACTCCATGTTGAAATTCTGGAGGGTTTAGAGTCCTGCAAAAACAAGATGCGAGTCAATGATCCAAATGACAGCACTGGGAATTTACTTGCACTCATTCCTCGCTTAATTCTTGAGAGGAGTTAACAGCTCTATGCTCATCGAAGAATGTATGAATTAAAGTTGGGAGAGTGTCAGCCACATAAAAGGCATCACTGTAACCGCTTCTTAAAACTGAGTAATTTTCTCCTTCAACAATCAAGGCTAGGGAGATTAAAAAAAAAAAAATAGGAACAAGTAGGAAAACTGCAATCCAATTTATATAATTTTGGGTCATTTATTTAAATAGTGTACATAAGTGTATTAATTATTATTTTTATTATTGGGAAAAAATGTTTGGGGCCGAACATGACTTGCTGTTAACCTTTTGCTCAGTAAAACATGATTGTGTATGCAAATAAATAAACAAACAAAAACAGTCTTCTTATCCCACAGAAGTTTTTAAAACATAAATTTTTATTTGGTCAAAACTGTCAAAAGAAATTATTTTAAAAAATAAAAGCAGTGGTAAATCAGGATATTGTTTACATTCGTTAAATCAGAAGTTTCTTATCTCTTGGTATTTGTCCCTTAAAATAAATAGTCATAATGAACGAGCACTTCTATTTTCCTGATAAAAAGAATTTTTTGTATGTTTGAATACATAGTTTGTGGTTGCATACTAACCATCTATATAATATGTAAACCACAAACAACATCCTATCTTTAAAAAATGAGCTCCAAATTTTTGTCATCAATTACTTAACTTCATATGTCTTCATTTGTGGCCCATGAATTAATAACTAACATGATGGGAAATGAATCATTTCAAATGAATGAAGTATATTGATTTTTACTAATTTCTACTAAATTTATTCCAAGATTTCTTTTCATCATTAACAGCTTTACACCATCCAGTGTTCACCTGGGTTGTTCTTGAAAGTGTGTTGGCCACTATTTTTCAAGCCATGGCTTCCATTTTGCTGCTGCTTAGCTTTCATTCTCTTCTGGAAAGTAGTACACAACAAAATAAGGTGTTTTGTGTAGATGTGTTCTTTTATTTTTCTTGTTCCTTCTGTCACTAACTTGTTTTTTCTATTCTGTGTTTAATCTGCTGTCTTAATGGATTCAGCTTCAGAAAAGAGAGCGCTCTTGCAGAGCCTATGTCCAGGTACTTTCCGCGTTTTTATAAATGTGTTAAGTTGTTGAATTGTCTTTGTTGGTGATCGCATGTATGGGCATCTGAGAGAAAAATAATGATAAGAAACACTGTTGAACTAAAGACATTTCAGGGAGGGCATCAAGGGCGGGAATGGAGAAACTGTATGAGAGGGCGTGTGCTGAAAAGATGTGGCAATGCCAGTGCTCCATCACACAAGAGACCCAAAGACTAAGAAGGAGGTGCAGCTTGGGGGGTGAGAACTGTGACCATCATGAAAAGGTGAGTTGGGTGTAATGTATTTCTCTCTGATTTCCTCATAGAGGTGTGTATGAAAACATTTCATTAATATATTGGGCCAGCTAATATCTGAGTAGCAAGTCATTCACAATGGCAGCCAGAGTCATGTAAAACAGGACTCGTCCAGGATACTTGTGATACCGTGCCTATACCACAGTGTTCAAGGCATGCTGTGATTCAAACCAACGTAAATGTAATCCCAATATACGTGTAACTTTCCTCTGGTTAACGTGTTGCGGTCTGTTTCTAAGCAAGGTAAAAACCATGTCAATATTTATGAGTTCTGTATGAAAAAAAAAAAATCCCAGTAATAAGCTTTATAGTTCTTTTTACGAGAAAGGAAGGAAGGCAGTGTAGGGGCAGAAAAAATTTTCCTTTCTTCCGTTCTAGGCTCTTTGGCTGGTCTAATAATAAAATTGATGTGAGAGAGATTAGCAGGAAAAAAAGAATTTTAATTATGTGTGCGAGCCCTATGAAGACATGAGACTCAAAGGCAAGTGGTGCAGTTGGGGTTTATATGCCATCCTGGGCTGAGGAAAGGGATGGGGCCCAGGGCTTCTACAGGGAGGAGGGAAATTCGCAGGAGAATGAGAAGCACAGATGTTGGGTGAACAGATGTTAGCTCTGCCATGCAGACAACTCTTTCAAATTAAAAAAATGATTTTTCTGGTCATAGCCCTTTTTCTACTATAGGCTCCCTATCTAAATGCTGTTAGGTAGTTACGGGAAAGGTAAAAATTTTCCTGAGTCTGCTGGTCTTGATTGCCTTTAGCTAAAAATTATCCACATGTCAAAGTGAACAATTTAGGGTGCCATATGATGCTCCCCTTCATCAAGAAGGAAGGAAAAATCTGAAACTGTGACTTTAAACTTTATTCCTTAAGTATATCATAGCCATTTTTTAAAGGGGAAGGCCAATTGCATACATAAAGAGAGACACCCTCAGAAACCAAAGTTCCCGGTTCTCAGATTGGCAGTCCAGAAACTAAACCTGACCAGTTTATTAACAAGGAGGGTATTTTGCAAGAGGGTCATTTAAAAGGAAAAAAGTAATAATTTGAATATCCAACAGATGTTAGGAAGATAAGCTTTTACGTTACATTTTACTTTAACATATAGTGAATCTTTGTGTGTCAGAAATGTTCAAGTTTATTTTTCTAAGGTTTTGGGAAAGAAAATTGTTCTGGAGGTTAATATATATATCTCCTATCCTCTTAGCATGTGCAATAGAGAAATGAAAGTATTCCACAGCAATGAAAGCTGAAGATAATTTTTGGGCAATTTTAGAATGTTTTTTATTGCAATCTGTGCTAACGCCTCAATGGGGCCTTGGAGGTAATTAGCCTTTCAGTATTTAAATCTATGAAATGCACGGTCATTCAAAAACAAATCTCTGATGGAAAATTAATAGCACGGTTTATTCAGTGGCTGATTTCCTGGTGTTATAATTGACTGTCTATAGGTAAATGTTTCAGCTATTGACCGAACATCTTCAAAACATCAAATACACACAGAATATTGGTGAAGCAGAAATGCTGTGTTCACTAATACATGGCATTACTGCTGTTAGTTTTAATTATTCTATGATTTCTAGAGTGAATAATACTTTAGTCTATTTGAATTTTAAAGAAACGTTACCTATTGTTTCTACGTTCAGAGCATGTTCTGAGCTCTCTGTAAAATAGGGATAAATTTTACTTGAAGACCTTCATGTATTGAATTTGAAAAAAAAGATAATTGTTCAGTCATCATGAGATTCTTAAAAAATATGACCTTGCCATATGCATAAACAATATTCTTCTAGGGTTGATTTTGACCATATATATCCATTTAGCTTCTGATTTTTTAGAGGTACAGTGTCTATTTCATGAATAAGCTAGACCTATCTTTCACTCCTTGCTTCCTACCTTTTGTTTATTGACCAAAGAAAGGAAACATGCGGTGAAATCTGGGCAGTCAGCTTTTAGCTATGATAACTGATCTGTAGGAGAACAATTACGAAGTATTGCAGTTTCTTTGATTTTTAGAATAATATGTGTATCTCCTAAACACTCATCTGCTTGAATCTCGAGAATTTTAATAAAAAGAGATACACTGGGTTCAATGTATTTTATTTCCTTCAATTAGTTGTAATTTTAGATTATATTAAAATCCTTGTTGACTACCAAAGATAAAAATTAACATTTGTCAGAGTAAAAAAATATTACCACCATATCTTAGTCATAATACATACCTTCATTGAAGAAGAAAGTTTTAAGTTCAATGCCAGAGAAAGTAAGTAAATCTTGTGTTACATGTGAATATTATATAGCCACTATGATGTAATCATACCAGAAGGAACCTTAGAGATAATGAGTTAGCTGGGATTTGGAGAGATGAACTGACTGGGCTAAGTCACACAGCCAGCACTGACGGCTCTAATACTGCACTTACAACATGTATCCAGTGCTTTTTCAACACCAGTTTATTATGTATTATAATTTACCATACATTTTTTAAATTTAATAATAAATTTAGCCTTAATTTATTATTAAGAATAAATGTACTTATTAGGCCCTAATTGTGTGCCCACCGCTGTGCAACACATTTTGCATAAATTCTTAATAAATATTCACAACAATCTTATGGTAATAAATATTCACAACAATCTTATGGTATAATTATTGCTATTCTTCACTCTGTGTGGGGACGTCCAGGGAAGATCAAATCACTTTTATACGATCATACAATAATAATTGAGGGAATCCTCAACTAGGTCTTCCAAGCTCAGGCTTTTGATCTCTAAGATACTGTTATTGCAGAACTGACTCTGTTATGTGGTGTTAGGAGTCAGGGTATATCATTTGGTTTATATTTATTGATTGATTATATTATATTTCAGGGGTGGTATAAAGTAAACCTTTTTTAATCTCTTTTTTTGAGACGATTTGAATTGGCTGTCTGGTAATCATTTGTACTGCTATATTAAGGCCAAATACAAATTTAATTTCCTTTGAGGTCCTTTTTTTTCCAGAGGAGACTATGAATAAAAAAATTATTCTATTGGGAGAAGAAAATACAAGCAGAAAAAAATGGTAACTGTGTTAAAGGAGGAAGTCTCCAACTGTTGTTCAAAGTACCTGCACATTTTAACTTACACCAGCAATATGTGAGGAGTTCAGTTACTTCTGTCTTTGACAATGCTTATTATTTTCTGTCTTTTTGATTATAGCCATCGCAGTATGAGGGAATTGCAGAAGTCTGTAACTCTAGTCATGGAGTCGGGGCAGGGGAGTTGGGGAGTGTAACCCACCAACCCAAGGATAGATTTGTGGTTTTCATGAGATTCTGGGAGTGGAGTGTGACCTCAGTCAGCTAAAGAACAACTGCCTTTGGGTTCTACGTATGTAACCAGAACTGAGATTTACCTTTTTTCTCATTTTTTAACCCCAAGTTTCCACCTTTTAATAGGAGTGCTAGCATTGTTCTATTGTTCAGCAGGAACTATTAAGGATAATTGGCATTTGTTTTGCACTGCTTTAAAAGCAGGACATTTTCCTCGTTAAAAAAAATCATTTAGTTCTTACGAGCACTGGTCCTCCAAACCTCAGAGGTGGCGTATACTCCCTAGAGAGCCTATAATGGGCTTGACTTAATGGGAAATACAAGTACTGTACATATATTTATCAATGTGAGTCTTTTGAGTCATTCTTTGGAACCTACTTTCACCTGAATAGTCAGATTGAAAATTGATCTGAAAAAACTGGTAGATACAATTAAAATAAACACACACACATGCACGTGCGCTCACATGCACATACCTGGTTTCCTTCTTTTCTAACTTCCTTTCTCCTTACTTCCATTCCTGTTTATTTTTAAAGGAAGATGGCCTATGTGTTCTTTAGGGCTTGCAAAGTTTTGAAACAGGCCGTTTTAAAAATTTCAATTTGGAAGTTTTATTGGCCCATTTTATTTTTATTTTGTTTTACCTTAATTATGCACTAGAAATCTCTCTCCTAGGTACCAACAAGGCCGAAACAATCTCTGTCTTTAACTGGAAATATATTACATAGTAGTTAGCAACAAAAATATTCAAGAATTAATAGCTGAGCACATGTGTCCAGTAACATTATCAGCACCGGGAATACAGCAGTGCACATAATGGAAAAAACTGCTGTCTTTCCTGGAGTGATATTTCTAGTGGCAGAATATAAATGAAACACTAAGTATAAGAAATACATGGTATATATGAGATGATGATAAATGCCAAGGAGAAAAAAACAAGAAAGTGTAGGGGTGAAAAAAATTTTTCTTCTACCCTTCTAGGTTCTTTGCTGGTCTAAAAATAAAGACAGATCAGCAAGAAAAAAACAAAAGTGTAATGAAAACTGAGTAACTCGCCAAAATGGCTGAAACTATCACCTTAAATACCATTCTCAGCTAAAAACAAAAGGAGATAAATGTTGAGGGTGGAGAGTCAATTATGAGAAATAACCAAGAAAGTGCCACAAACAAGGGTAAGATTGTTCTGTAGGTTTAAGTCATTGTGTTCTTCGGTGATAAGGGTTTCAGAGACTGAGTCATCCTTGTCTTCCTGGTTCAGAGGGAGGCGCCCGACAAATGGAGCTTTCCTTTATATAAGCAAATGTCTCTTCTAAGTTTGCAGAGCTTCTCCTGTGACTGCTGTTTCTTAAAAATAGCTAGCTTAAAATAATTATTATGCTACAGAGATA